TATAAGCTTGGCACGTCTAGCCACTGGGATTTTTGCCCATTCTTCAAGGCAAAACTGCTCCAGCTCCTTCAAGTTGGATGGGTTCCGCTGGTGTACAGCAATCTTTAAGTCATACCACAGATTCTCAATTGGATTGAGGTCTGGGCTTTGACTAGTCCATTCCAAGACATTTTAATGTTTCCCCTTAAATCACTCGAGTGTTGCTTTAGTAGTATGCTTAGGGTCATTGTCCTGCTGGAAGGTGAACCTCCGTCCCAGTCTCAAATCTCTGGAAGACTGAAACAGGTTTCCCTCAAGAATTTCCCTGTATTTAGCGCCATCCATCATTCCTTCAATTCTGACCAGTTTCTCAGTCCCTGCCGATGAAAAACATCCCCACAGCATGATGCTGCCACCATCATGCTTCACTGTGGGGATGGTGTTCTCGGGGTGATGAGAGGTGTTGGGTTTGCGCCAGACATAGCGTTTTCCTTGATAGCCAAAAAGCTCAATTTTAGTCTCATCTGACCAGAGAACCTTCTTCCATATGTTTGGGGAGTCTCCCACATGCCTTTTGGTGAACACCAAACGTGTTTGCTTATTTTTTTCTTTAAGCAATTGCTTTTTTCTGGCCACTCTTCCGTAAAGCCCAGCCCTGTGGAGTGTACGGCTTAAAGTGGTCCTATGGACAGATACTCAAATCTCCACTGTGGAGCTTTGCAGCTCCTTCAGGGTTATCATTGGTCTCTTTGTTGCCTCTCTGATTAATGCCTTCCTTGCCTGGGCAGTGAGTTTTGGTGGGCGGCACTCTCTTGGCAGGTTTGTGGTGGTGCCATATTCTTTCCATTTTTTTATAATGGATTTAATGGTGCACCGTGGGATGTTCAAAGTTTCTGATATTTCTGTATAACCCAACCCTGGACTATTTTGTGTATGTCCATTACATGAAATCCAAATAAAAATAAATTTAAATTACAGGTTGTAATGCAACAAAATAGGAAAAACACCAAGGGGGATGAATAGTTTTGCAAGACACTGTACCTTTTCTTGCTATGGACATGTTTTCAGTGCAAAAGTGTTATTCTCTGCTCTGATAAATGATGAGTCAAATGACTCCACAGTGTCCTCTACAGGTTAACAGTATCAGTGCAATGGACAGAGGGTGAAATACATTAGCACCTGTGACTTGCCGGTCAAACCATAATCATCCTATAGAAGAATAAATAACACTTCACTTTTATTGGGATTCTATTTAGATGAAAGTAATATAACCTCTTCTGACCAAATTCACATGTAACCACCACAGAAAACTCCCCTTCACAGGAAATATAGAGAAAAATCTGAGGGAAAGCAGACAAGTCAAGAATATGTACAGTGAGGGAAAAAAGTATTTGATCCCCTGCTGATTTTGTACGTTTGCCCACTGACAAAGAAATTATCAGTCTATAATTTTAATGGTAGGTTTATTTGAACAGTGACAGACAGAATAACAACAACAAAATCCAGAAAAACACATGTCAAAAATGTTACAAATTGATTTGCATTTTAATGAGGGAAAAAAGTATTTGACCCCCTCTCAATCAGAAAGATTTCTGGCTCCCAGGTGTCTTTTATACAGGTAACAAGCTGAGATTAGGAGTACACTCTTAAAGGGAGTGCTCCTAATCTCAGCTTGTTACCTGTATAAATGACACCTGTCCACAGAAGCAATCAATCAGATTCCAAATTCTCCACCATGGCCAAGACCAAATAGCTCTCCAAGGATGTCAGGGACAATATTGTAGACCTACACAAGGCTGGAATGGGCTACAAGACCATCGCCAAGCGGCTTGGTGAGAAGGTGACAACAGTTGGTGCGATTATTCGCAAATGGAAGAAACACAAAATAACTGTCAATCTCCCTCGGCCTGGGGATCCATGCACGATCTCACCTCGTGGAGTTGCAATGATCATGAGAACGGTGAGGAATCAGCCCAGAACTACACGGGAGGATCTTGTCAATAATATCAAGGCAGCTGGGACCATAGTCACCAAGAAAACAATTGGTAACACACTATGCCGTGAAGGACTGAAATCCTGCAGCACCCGCAAGGTCCCCCTGCTCAAGAAAGCACATATACAGGCCCGTCTGAAGTTTGCCAATGAACATCTGAATGATTCAGAGGAGAACTGGGTGAAAGTGTTGTGGTCAGATGAGACCAAAATCGAGCTCTTTGGCATCAACTCAACTCGCCATGTTTGGAGGAGGAGGAATGGTAACTATGACCCCAAGAACACCATCCCCACCGTCAAACCTGGAGGTGGAAACATTATGCTTTGGGGGTGTTTTTCTGCTAAGGGGACAGGACAACTTCACCGCATCAAAGGGATGATGGACGGGGCCATGTACCGTCAAATCTTGGGTGAGAACCTCCTTCCCTCAGCCAGGGCATTGAAAATTGGTCGTGGATGGGTATTCCAGCATGACAATGACCCAAAACACACGGCAAAGGCAACAAAGGAGTGGCTCAAGAAGAAGCACATTAAGGTCCTGGAGTGGCCTAGCCAGTCTCCAGACCTTAATCCCATAGAAAATCTGTGGAGGGAGCTGAAGGTTCGAGTTGCCAAACGTCAGCCTCGAAACCTTAATGACTTGGAGAAGATCTGCAAAGAGGAGTGGAACAAAATCCCTCCTGAGATGTGTGCAAACCTGGTGGCCAACTACAAGAAACGTCTGACCTCTGTGATTGCCAACTAGGGTTTTGCCACCAAGTACTAAGTCATGTTTTGCAGAGGGGTCAAATGCTTATTTCCCTCATTAAAATGCAAATCAATTCATAACATTTTTGACATGCGTTTTTCTTTTTTTTCTTTTTTGTTATTCTGTCTCTCACTGTTCAAATAAATCTACCATTAAAATGATAGACTGATCCTTTCTTTGTCAGTGGGCAAACGTACAAAATCAGCAGGGGAACAAATACTTTTTTCCCTCACTGTATATCTAGACCCATGCTTCATGGGTAAATCTGTGTGTGAGTGTTTGTAAATGGTATGCTTGTGGAGTATTTCCATTCGCCTCACCCATTGCTCATTAAACATTGGTCACAAAACCTTTCTATACTCTACAATAGTCATTTGAATGCGAGTCATACTTTGAATAACTGTACTTTTCCATAGTTGGAAATATACTATTAAGTCTATTTGTTCTGTCTCCACGAATCTAAATATTTCTTTTTTATTTACAAATTCAAATTATGTGTTTGATTATTATCTAAAAGGTTACTTTTAAAACACTACAAACTTTTCCATGTAGGGGAAATAAACCATATTAAAAAATAAAAAATCAACACCTTGCATTGTGTATGGGTATGTGAATCGTAGATGGGGAGTGCTAGGCTGGACAGAGTTGCTATACTCTCATTAAATCGATATTGAAACTCCTTTAGAAGCCTCAGGAAGCTAATCAACACAACAAGGTCCTCAGCCCTGGGGCTGTCCTCGCTATGGATCCCGTCTCATGTGAGAAAGAAAGGAGAAAATACAACAACAAAAGAGGTGAGGGAAGTTGGAGAGGCCAGAAACCATGGAAACTATGTGGAGGGCCTCCACTAAAGCAGTGTTTGAGATAGAGAGAAAGAGCAGTGACCCATTGTTTTTATGGCGGAATACTGGGACAATGTTATAGTGAATGGGGAACATGCATGCTTCTACTGGGGCACCAAGGGATGGAGTTGGTGCAGGGGAGATGGGATTTAGAGTATATGGATATTCTGTCTCTGTGCGTATTTTGAGATTGAGTGTGTCTTAGTGAGAGTATGTTTTGAGGGGCAATATTGGTGAGATGAGGGACTGTGGGTGTGAGAACTGAAGCGAGAGAGGGTGGAGGTTCTATGTATCTCGCTCTCTCTCTCCGTGTGTGTGTGTGTGTGTGTGTGTGTGTGTGTGTGTGTGTGTGTGTGTGAGTGAGTGAGATATCACATCCGTCCAGACTCATGCAGTCCCCCTATTAAATTAAATTCCTTGTGTAACAAATATGCAGCAGGCATTGATCTGCCCTACACATAAAGATCTGAAAGCAATTATTGGATATGTATGACTTGTTCTCTTTTTTACATGACAGTTGAAAGAGGATGAATACCAAAAACAATTGTGCTTTTGGAATGCTTAAATGCTTTAAAAAAACCTATAATATCCAAACAATATGTCCATGCAAGTCATGTATCTGACATGTTTCAGTTGATTGTATTGGCTCAGTCATGCCTAGCTAAGAGCTTCCTAAAGCTCACCTGAACACAAGTGCCATTCTCACTTGGGAACATATAATGACATTTTCTAAAGTTTGACTTACTTTCTAATAAGGACATTTTCTCGCAACTTTCAGTACCTAGAAAGTGCTATGATAATGAGGCTATGGAATGAGCCTTTTATGATTCCTGAACTCGGCATCATCTGTGTCCTACAACAAAAGCAAAACATTATGCAGGCCAGGCCATTGCAAGTCCCTCCACTCTTTCATACCTGAACATTCTCACCTACTGTACTCTGTATCCTTTTAGAGATCCAGGAGGCTCTAATGTCCAATATAGGCTACAATCTCTGTTTAACTGATCAACTAAAAACATGTATGCACCACCACCTCCAAGCACTTGAAGTTAACTTTAGGTGCAAAAGCGATTCCTGCACTAGTCTAGGCCTGGCCTGCTTCTAATTGGGTATTTTCGCATTGTTTATGGGAACTGTCTCACTTGCCGATACTTATAACATACAAAAACCTTTGGTTGCAAAATAAGAAGTATGTCAATTCTAATATTCCACAAAATGGTATAGGCTATCACGAAGCTATTATTTGCAGCTTTTGAATGATTCATTGTAGCCAGAAAGGCAACAAGTAACCATTACATTTTACATTTACATTTTAGTCATTTAGCACCACCCCTCGCCAGCCAACCAGTACCGCCCACATTGGTGATCTAGCCAATGAGCGCAAGCGTCATCCTACTGTAGACCCGTCCTATTGCTAAACTCAATAGCTCATGATCATAGAACAGAAAACGCGCTACACGAGCGAGCAACGGAGGTGTATGACAAGATCTCTCTATTCTGCGCCTGGACTTCCAAACTTTGAAGCGAAACAAAGTCATAGTAAAATCAATTTAAAAAATCAAGACAAGGAAAGGGAGACCGGTTCAGTGCGTTTCAAGGAGGATTGCTAACGGATCACTTTGCACCGGCAAACGATCACTCACTACTGTGATCAATGTTGTTATAACTCATGCGCCGCTTTCACACGGCGAAGGCAATGCGTAAAGTTGCATTCAGAAGGAATTGAAAGTTTTCATCCTGGTGAGCAGATAATAGGACAGAGATGTTCAGTCCATTATGGGGTTTCTAATGTGGATGTAGAATAGAAATCTTGGAAGAGTCTCCGGATGACCGACACATTTTGGATGTTACCTTTCTTTGGGGCTATTCTCTGAGATTCCTTAGAGGCGGTTGCAATAATAATAATAAAAGGATTCCTTTCAGGTGGCACATCTGCCATGTTTGGATGGATTTGATTTTACTATAACCAAGATTATCAAGAAATTGTTGTATTTTTTGTGGGGTTTTTTCTATTATTGTGTCTGATCCAAACGACAGCTGACATTTTAGTACAACCGTACTACTCACCTCCGGAATTACAATCATGAACATTGGCAGTTTTGTACAATTATTATTTGCAGTGCTGCTTCAGCTTCATTTGTATGCAGTAAAGGTGAGCATTCCATTTAAATCGGAGGGGGATCAGATGCGTTCGATGAATTAGGAATAGAGTGCTGTTGCATGTTTCATTAATGAGGTGATCGCCCTTGTCGCTCAACCTCGTCACTTGCTGCTAGGTGGGTAGGCCACTTATAATGTATTCACTTTCTGTAAATGATAGGCCTAATGAAATATTTTATGTCACTGTTGAATTGTTAATCCTGACGTTTGACATTCATTTTGGTCCTTTTGGAAAAAGTGTCATAGGCCTATCCAATTAACCCTGTATGTTATATTATTATTAGGCTATTATTATTATTATTATTATTATTATTATTATTATTATTATTATTATTATAACTTTTGCAAATGCACAATGCACCCAGCATTAATGTCAACACAATAGTAGGCTAGGCTAAATCTGAATTTTGAGTGACCTAAAAGTGAAATGAGTTGCGTCATTTCACTAGCCTAATCCAAAAAATGTCATAAATATATTCTCTCAAATGTTTATGATAATCTGTACAACGTGTAAAGGCTAACAATGGGCAACCCACCTCACTGTCTTTCATCTATAAGATTACATCGGCTTCTTTCTCACGCAATATTGCAGAGCTATTGCAACAGTCAACGTCCGGTGATAACGTGACTGAAGGCTGCTGTAATGCCATTTTCCCTCTGCACTTGCCCAAAGGCGGGAAAATATTCAATGAAATAGGCTAGCTGTCATAATAAAGAGGGAATGTATTGCAGTCTTGCTGTATAATAAGCTAATGCCATACATTGAAGCATGGCTTAATTACATACCAAAAATGAATGTGCATGCAATTACATTATGGAAATTATATTTACATAATTCAGGGAGGCAAAACTGCATTGCCTTTTTAAAACGTGATGCAGAGCCTACCATAGAACAAATTAGCATGACATAGGCTAAGACATCAAGCTTGCTCTAACAACATGTTGTTGTTTTTTACAGACAGCCCACATACCCAAGGAAGGGGAGAAGAGTAAAAATGATGGTAAGTGCTGAATGTACAAAGTATTACAAGTGCAGTATTGTAGAAGTTTCTTCTCAGTGTTTCCCTTTATTTTGGGTATTTGGTGGGTGTATAGCCACCTAGTGGAAATATTCTGAATCTGAATTTTCCCAGAACAGACTTTTTCAAGTTTAGGCCTTCAATGAACATGAGTTTTTGACACATTGGCTATTGCACATGGCTATTGCACGTGGCTTTTGTCATAACACAATCTTTACATTGTAGCAATGCTACCTCTCTATCAGTGAGTGAGATAAGATGGGTATCATATAGGACCCCATGGTACTCTTGAAGTCTTAGTGGTGAGTCCCTGGGTGAAAGGCTTTACTTGGGACTTTGGAATTACCATGAAAGCGTGTCTGATCCAAATAGTCTGGTATATGTTAACAGACAAGGTTACTGCATGAATTCAAGGCCACTGCTAAATTCATGTGGCAAACACATGGTCAGATTGTATCATTTATATTGGACAAAGCATGTCAGCCTCGGTCCAAGGCTGTGTGCATGGTTATGTTTGTTTATTGACAGTGACAGAGTATGTTTCACTTGTTAGCTGTGTTCAAGGTTAGCCATGTTAGTCAATAGTGGACACAGACAGGTTACTCACTGTGATGCATTAGGGACTGGTCCTCAGCAGAGAAAACACAGGAATTGAATTGGTTTTGTTATTGTCAGCACAAGGGCAGCGACTCCCTTCCTCTTCTTTGACACCTGTGGGTGGCTTCTGGCCTTCATTTCTCTCTCTCTCACACACACACACACACACACACACACACACACACACACACACACACACACACACACACACACACACACACACACACAATCACATTAAAACAAATGTTGTTTGGGTACTAGAACTCTGCTAGACAGAGTGTGAAGCAGCAGCTGTGCAGAGAGAGACTGTAGGGCTCCGCTGAGCCAGATCAGCACAGGGAGACGTGCTGGGCTGGTGACCTTGGGCTGTAGACGGAGACACTCCTGTCACTGGCAGCGAGACAGACAGCCTTTCTCCCCCCACAGGCCTGCAGGCTGGCCTGGCCGTCTCCTCTGAGAGCAGGTGCTGGGAGGTAGAAAGGGAGGTAGTGGACACTGCATCTGCTGGCCAGGCAGGTCATCCAGGGGCTAGCAGCAGCAGTGCATGGTTTGAGAAGGAGTAACAGAGCCAGCTACGGCAGGCAGGCAGTGGTGTGTCAGGATGTTGTTGTAGCATTAGGCCGGAACTGACCAGGCCGACTGGTTAAGGGGAGGGCTTCCGGGGGTCACATGTCAGAGGTGAACCCTGGCACAGCACAGTCTGAGGTCATGGGCTGCTCGGACGACCTGGGGATCAGGAGGGGGACGGGGTCGCTGGGAAGCCAGTCTATAGGATGGTGGATGGGGGATTATTCTGGGATGGAGATGGGTAGGGTTAGTCAGCATCTGATGAATTGTGGGTTGTATGTATATGGCATGTAGCTTAAACGTGTGGATGTGATGTAATTGTCCCTGTGTGTGGGTTTGAATGTGTGTGGTGGGCTTTAGACAGCTGTGAGCACGAGCAGGTTTGACATAATTTTGTTTTGTTTTGCTGGAGGGACATTAAGATCCTTGTCAGAACAATAGTCTGCGTTGTTGCATCTGAAGCCATATATATGTGGCTTTGTTTATCTGCTAAGCTGGCTTTAGTAATGGGCACCACTCAGGAAACGAATGCCTGTACCTTTTGACGACCACAAAGGCACACAAGTACTCTCTTCCACTGCCGAGCGGAACCAGAGCAGATGGGTGGATGACAGGGGGGTTCTAGGAAGTAGAGGAGGCATGGAGAGTTAGGATAAAGGAGAAAAAAGGGGCACAACTGGGGAATGAGGGAGGAAAGGAGGATGAAAGAGAATGCGAGAATGCATTGGAGAGTTTTACTAAGTGGAGAGGATGGATGTGCTGTACTCTACAGTATAGCAGTTTTGTGGTAGGGTTGCCAACTGATGTTACTGTCTTCTCCTCAAGGAATCTTACTGTTACTGACAGTTATCTATGTCAGAGTGAGGATGAGAAGGAAGCAGTACTGACGTTCTCCCTCTGCTCTTCCTCCTGCAGTGGTCCCGTTCATGGACGTGTATAACAAGAGCATGTGTCGGACACGGGAGATGCTGGTGGACATCTTCCAGGAATATCCAGATGAGATCGAGCACACCTACATCCCCTCGTGTGTGGTGCTCATGCGCTGCGCCGGATGCTGCAACGACGAGGCGCTGGAGTGTGTCCCCACGGAAACAAAAAACGTTACCATGGAGGTAAGCTCCAACTCCAACTCTCGCCGGGACCGGCGAACAGGGGATTTGTTCAACTCTCGCTCTCCCCTCTCACTCTCATTCCATCTCTCTCATATCACTTACAACCCCCTCTTTCTTCCATATCTCCCGGTGTCCTTTCTTTCTTCCATTCCTCTTCTCACTGGTTTTCTGTGTCTCTGTCTCTGTCTCTCTGTCTCTCTGTCTCTCTCTCTCTCTCTCTCTCGCTCTCTCTCTCTCTCTCTCTCTCTCTCTCTCTCTCTTGCTTTGCTTTGTTTCTCTCTCTGTCCCATGGAAAAAGTGAAGCAGCAGGGGCCTGGCATGTCAGCTATTTTGTTTACACCCTGTTTACGCCCCTGTTTATGTGGTTGACGTCTCTTTTGGACACAGTCAGGAGGTAGGACTTACTGTTGGCATGGGCCTAGGGTGGAAAGGAATAAGCTAAAGTAATGTGATACAGCGCATGCCTGGCTATGGTGTCGGTCGGTCTTCACCGACCGGTTAGCTAGTGGTCACAATGGTCAGAGCAATCACTCACTAAGAATCTCTGAGGTAGTAATGTTGCGGCAGAGGAATTTGGTTTGGGCGGGGGTGAGTGACCCAAGTAAGAGACTACAAACCCCTTTTCAATGTGAATTTTAATGTTTCATATTTTATTTTTCTCTACAGGTAATAAGAGTGAAACAGAGAGTATCGCAACATAATTTTCAGTTAAGTTTCACAGAACATCGAAAGTGTGAATGCAGGTAAGAATCTTTTCTCAGGCCAATAATGATTTCAGGCTTCACAGTGTTTTTGCTTACTGGTTAAAGGTCCAATGCAGCTGTTTTTATCACAATATCAAATAACAATTAAGTACCTTACTGTGATTGTTTTCAATTTAAATGTTCAAAAATAAACAAAAATAGCTTCTTATTTTGCTATTACTGTCTCTTTCTTATTGGTCTATTAACTAATTATTTAGGCCAAAACTCCATCCCACCCAAACAGGCTGACATTTCAGGCGGTCTTTTCAAACAGCTCTTACACTAAAAGGACATTATTATTATTCCAACCTCATAGTGTGGAAATATATATAAAACATAGGAAAATCATGTTTTTGACTGCACTGGGCCTTTAATAAAAAGCAAAATATAAAGCTAAAGGTTTTGTTCTCTATTTTCCTCCTAATTTCAGACCAAAGCCAGAAGTTAAAGCAAAGAAAGAAAAGTAAGTACACTTTTTGTGTTGTTATTGTTGAGGTATTTGTGGGATGAGGGGAGGGAGTTGTCTGAGTTTAGTTTAGCTCCCACTATGATATTCAAACTGTCAAAACAGCTCTATCTGCCAGCCCCAAAACATCTGAATATTTTGATTGACCAGTTTCCCAACCAATCATCATCCCGTTCCCACAGACACCTTAATTCAACATAGAGGGCTGGGGCCTAATCCTCCCGAACCAATCAGTATTCATGTATTCAATATTCCTCATGTTGATTGGCCACTGTACATGCAGATGAGATGCATCCAGCTGGACACTTTGGTACCAGCGACCATGTGGGGTAGCGCTAATGCTAATGCTAATGCTAATAGTAACGGGGAATCTGCAGTATCTTTTACCCCTGCCGTACTGAGAAGTCGGCAGCTGCCCTGCTCCTGCTGATAGAATTGAGTCGATCATTTTAAAGGGTGGTGAGAGGAAGTATTAGGGTGCCTTCTACTAGTGATAGGGATTATCAGCACCTCATAGGCTCCTACACCGCACCACATAGCCCTGTCTCTCTCTATTTAACATAGCGAGGAAGGGAGGGGAGGTAGAGGCCTAGTTCTCCATGTTCCCTTCACGCCTCATGGCGTTAGAGGACTAGCAGCACACCTTGTGGAAAAAACAGCCTCTCTCCTCTATCTTTACTGGTGCTGATAAGAGAATGGATTATTTTTTTTTTTTACTTGGTTTGTCCTCCTGCCAGGATCTGTTCATTTTATGGCGGTTGGTTTAGTGCTTTACTGTGCGGCTGTAACAGTTGAGGTAGTTAGCTAGCGCCAGACCACCTGTGACTGGCCGGGCTGTCCAGCAGCCTTCTTCTAAGCTCCAGTTGCTCAAGCCTGACCCTCGGCCCTCGTGGCTACTTCCACAGTGTACTTCCACAGAGACTGTGGTCCTCTGTAGCTCAGCTGGTAGAGCACGGCGCTTGTAACGCCAAGGTAGTGGGTTCGATCCCCGGGACCACCCATACACAAAAACAAAAAATATGCATGCACGCATGACTGTAAGTCGCTTTGGATAAAAGCGTCTGCTAAATGGCATATTATTATTATTATTATTAATCATAGCAACAGGTGTCATTCAGTTATTTTATTTTTACCGTTGTAAATAGTGGATGAGACAGAGATGCAGTGGACATGGTTAGTTACAGGCAGTGTGGAGGGAGGGAAACAGACCGACTGTCAGTGTTGATGCAGGGATGTGTGTGTAAGTGTGTGAGACGTGTGTGTGTGTAAATGTCTTTAGCCACCTCAGCTGCAGCTGGCACGTCAGAGGACGTCCCTTGTTTTAATTAGATAAGAACCATGCAGGGTTAAAGCTCCATGGATCAGTGGAGGAGAGATGGGATCATGTTAGCTAGCTGAGAGGGCTAAATCAAATCCGTTTGTCATGGGGTTGAGCTGAGCCTTGTCCCCGTGCTGTGCCACACACACCTCTGCCTGTCACCCAGCACGTAGGCAGACAGCTCACCTCAGCCAGGCCAGGGTGGGGTCATGGGAAAATAATGCCCATTCATTCACTCACATGCATACTGTACATAATACTCTAGACACACACTTGGGGCTCTATTTAACAAACCTAACGCAATGTTAAATCTATGTGCAGGCGGCAGCGCTATAGGGTCAGCGGTGTGTCATAAATATGTTTGCTGTTTTCACTATTACAATTATCGGCACACTTGCTGGTGTTGGCGCGAAAGGGCTGGGTTTTGATAAATAAACTAGTTGTGGGTGTGTCGAGGCTTGGCCCTTCACTGGCCAATCAGAACATGCTCCATGTGAAATATGTGGTTGCTTCAAGTTGTGTATTTACGGTCTTTTATGTATTGACTTGGAATCAACTCCAATTCCAATGTAGTTTGTTAAATGGCTTACAGAAACTAAATAACAAAATGAAGACCTATCTTTGCTAAATACGTTAACTTTAACCCATTTGCAGTCCACATTGTTCTACGTAATTGCATGGCTTCAATAGCATTCACCCTAATATAGGGGCTAGGCCTACTGTAAATTGCATTATGGCTGAGCATGGACATGCCAAACATTGTCAATAAGCAAGATTAAATTCATGATTGATAAGGCCTACAAAGAGAACCAATAGTTCTAATAAAATTCTAAACAAAACGAAAAAACAACAACTTGTTTTAAATAGGCTATGTCACACTTACAGTCACCATCATTTCTCCGCATGGGCATATAATATTAAAACAACGCAGACAATGGAGGTTTTTACGCACATCAAAACTTTTCACAGTAGCTGGAGAAAGAGAAAGAGAAAGGGATAATGTTATACTGCTCCCAAGTAGCCCTATGTTTTATGAACATAATTGGAACCATCTCACAGATCACATTGCATTCACACTTCTCATGTAGTCCCGTGTAGCTCAGTTGGTAGAGCATGGCGCTTGCAACGCCAGGGTTGTGGGTTCGGGGGGCCAGTATGGGAAAAAAATAATAATAATGTATGCACTCACTTAACTGTAAGTCGCTCTGGATAAGAGCGTCTGCTAAATGACAAAACATTTGAAAAAACATCTCCAGAAGTTGCATGCGCGCCACGAACGTTGTAACCATAAAACCAGGAAGGTGAATCATTCTAATAAGATTGCTTGTTTTTCTTTTAATTTTATTATAACCCATCTGTTGTTTTTTTAACAACAACAATAAATAATTGTAAAATGTAATGATATCATAAAATCGGCAGGATAAAAATAAACGCATTGCTGTTGAACCAGCCTTGGTTATAGTAGGCCTAAGGCAATAGTTACAGGTTACAGATAACTTCTAAATATGAGGTTCACTGGTGTTCAACAAGGTTCTCATCTCTCATTTCATGATGGGCATGACAGTACATCATGGAGGGGGTTTTACGCACATCCAAAATGGGACCTGCATGGCTAAAATAATGTGGGCCTACCTACAATGCATAGATAATAAGGGAATGTCAGCTCACTGTTTTACTCCTCTCAAATTTTATATTTTAATAAAGCTTTGGTGATTAAGATGTATTTCCAAGCAGTCTCAGGAGCCAAACCCTTTATCGACAGTCTTGACTACTTTGTGATTGCACTGGGCAGGACAAAGAAAAGCCTTCATTGAGAGGAGGGGAGGCTATGCTTGGTTTTTAACCAAATAAAACAAAATGGGAATAAACATGAGTTTTTTTATGTTTCTATATACGAAATATACAGGCACCAAAAGCACATTAGGCGACTCTTGTTCCATGCGCATATGGGCAGTGTGCGTCACGGCTGGATAGGCTACATTTCCGCTGTCAAAATTCATGCCATAACCAACTGCGTTACCGCTAAAACCAGCTTTTGGTTGGTCTTAAATATCCCTACCAGCGCTGCCTGAAATTAGCACCCCTCCCATCTGAGCGCAAGCGTGCAGATATAAGACAGGTAAATTACCGAACCTGGCGTTAGGGCCAGAAAATGCCAGTGCGCTAGTTTTTACATGACGAAATTGCAAACTAACGAGCATTTGACAGTAGCGCCGCCTTAACGCCAGCCGAAAATCGAACCCTTGATATGCATAGACTGATTTACACAGGCAACAGTGGATGCATTTACATTTACACATGCATTTGCATTGACACAGACACACACACACACATTCAAACAGGGATCGATCCCACTGCTAATGAGGAGACTAGATTAGAAGGGAGATGCCAGACTTGATTGATTGTCTCCTCTTTGGCCTAACCTCTATTGATTGACCTCTGTATGAGTGTCCCTGCCTCCACTTAGGTGTCTTTTCTCTTTTGCCCTGTTCTCTATTTTCCATGGGCAATGACCATAAAGAGAAAGAAAGAGAGAGACACTGGCACGATGAGGGCTGAGGCCTATGCCAGCGCCTCTTCTGCGGCGTGTCTGCACATGGGCACTGTGTCTCTCTTGATGGTTGGCTTGATTTTGGAGGAACTTGTTTGTATCTTGTAAAATGCATACCTCTTTTGGTTTGGCATGAGAAGGCTTTATTTTTTTAAAATAAACCTTCTTTTTTTTGGCGTACGCACCACTAAAGTTGACGTGAGTGAGAACTGTCAGGTAATGATGATGTCTGTATGTATGGCTGTCTACCGCCCCCCTCACTAATCCATGGCAGCAGGGTCGATGCCATGTTGAGTCTACATGCTGCTAGAGTTTGTTCTCTGTTTCTCTGTTGCCTTTTGTTTTAGACGATAGACGGATGGACCAACACTGTTGTCTTAAGTTGCTACCAATATAGTGAAATTAATATGATTAGATTGTCTTCTATAATCCTTACGTTGTGCCTGAGCCTGCGCTTACTCAGCCAAACCATCATCCTAATGTCATCCTAACATCCCATTCATTTGTGGCGCTCATGGGAGCATGTCTGTAGGGTAATTGTAGTGGGAAATAGAGGCAGGTTTTGGGAGGGATGGGTTTTTAAAGATGGCTGCTCCCTTGTGAGCATGTCATTGGATGGATCGGGAAGCAAATGCTATGTGTTCTGTGTTTCTGCTGTGGACTTTACCTAATCACATGCACCTGTTTTGTGTGTCTGTGTGTGTGGCTGTTAGTGTGGATGTGCGTGTGTATACAGTATCATGTGTGTATAAGTGCAAATGTTCTCATTCAATGTTGCTTCTCATAGACCCAATCACACATGTGCTTGTCATGCCATTAGAGAGGATGAATGAAAGAGAGCGAGAAATTGTGGGTGAAAGAAGAGTGTGTGAGTGTATGCAAGCATGATCAGGCCCATGTGTGTAGAAAAGTCTTTACATGTGCTCTCTTTCTAACCCGATCACAATGCTCCACAACCTCAAACAAACTTCACACCACCTAGCGGCTGAAGAAGTATTGAACTGATGTTGCTCAAATGTTCATCCAATTTGTGGGTGCATGAGTGTCTGTGTCTGTCTACACCCTTTTTCTGCTGGATACGCTCTATAGCTTAGACCTCTCTCTCCCTTTTTGCTTCCCTTGCAGCCACTGTGAGCCTTGCTCAGAGAGAAGAAAGCGCTTGTTTATGCAGGACCCTCTCACCTGTAAATGTTCCTGCAAATTCACACAATTAGACTGCAAGTCCAGACAACTTGAGTTAAACGAAAGAACTTGCAGGTTTGTTTACGAAATATTGCGATAAACAACGTGACTTGATCTATACTCCGTTCACCCACATCTACATCCATCCACCTTTTTGCACTTCTGTCATTTGTTAGATTTTTTTTCTCCTGCTGAGAAATGCATGCTTCTCACTTGCTTATAGAATATGTTTTTGTTTGTTTGTATATGGAATCGTGTGGGACTATGTTTGCTTGTAAGTGTGTTTGTATTGTCTGTTGTCATGCGTAATATTCTGATACTCATCTTAACATCATCCTTGATGTTAAAACTGTGACTCTGTAAAGGTAGTATATTATATTATAGCTAGCTAGTATAGTGTATTCCCTTTGCATGGTAGACACTTAAACTAGACAATACACACAAAACAGCCCCTTTCTCCCTTTAGATTCCCTTTAAATTAAAGCAGTATCTATATTATATACACTAATTCTAGCACCAAGCAAGGGAATCTAGGGGGTGGGGTTTTATGTGTGTGAGACAGTCCGCCCCATATTGGGTCAGTCTGTAGTAATGCCCATTTATTCTGACCCACACTAATCATCCCACTTATCATCTCCCAACATAGTCTCCTTATCTCTTTCCCATCGCTACATGGATATATATAACCACCTGCGTAGGAGGGGAATTTTAGCGTCCATTGTTGTTTTTAACTGCTACCAGTCTTGATCACACAAATAGACAGACATGTTTATAAGTCAGCACAGTACAGGACTCAAGACAGAACTAACTCATGCACGACACTAACACTCAAAGGGGAAGTGTTTCCCTTGGTTCGTAATTGTGAACGAACAGGCTCTTAATTGAGTGAATGTAGAACTGGTGTCCATGCTACTTGTTTCTAATGATCCTACTCATAACTCCTATGAGGCGTAGCCCTAAACTCAATTACTAATCGAGGATTAAAACTCCATCTCCATTGGTTGCAAATAACGGCTGTATTCAGTCAGTGGCCCAATGGAGAGCTGACTGCTTCTGGTGAAACTCCCACAAGGCCCTGTGTTGGTGACATCCCTTGACCCTACTATATACATTCCTGACCTTTGAACCTTAGAGGCCCCCCACACGGTGTGCTGGATTTAGAGAGCCACAGATGAGTGGGGTGACCAGCGACATGATTCCAATTGGTCATGGGTCAGGGGAGGAAGAGGGAGGGACTGCAGGAGTTTTTCACATTTGGGGTGATGTGATTGGCTCCAGGCTACACCCCTGCTGGGAGAATGATTTGTTGCCCATCTTCTAACCAACTGTCTGTCATGTCTTGTCATCCACAGATGTGACAAACCAAGGAGATGAGATGAGGAGAGGGGGGACACTGAAATGAAGGAATATTTTCTTGGCACAGCACTTTGAAACCTGACGACGCATTCCCTGGAAGGTCTGAAAATTGCAACGCAAGAAAGAACGAGCAAGAGAGAGCGATAGAGAGAGACTGAGATATCATGCTGTTGTATATTTCTAAGATATTAATATATATATACATACATATTCTAAAAGGACAATGTTTATTGCTGCTATAAAAAAGGAGAAATTATAAAGTGAACGAATGCGCCACTGTCTGGTGTGTGAATGGGACAAAAGGTGTTTGGGCCTGCACGTGGATAGGACTGAGAGTTTTTGTTAGAATCCATTTTATTTTATGTAACACATCACTGGATGTTGGTCTGCTGTGGATATGAGTATCTTAAATATACAGTGCCTTCGGAAAGTATTCAGACCCCTTGACTTGTTCCACATTTTGTTACGTTACAGCCTTATTCTAAAATGGATTAAATTCGTTTTTTTCCCCTCATCAATCTACACACCATAACCCCATAATGACAAAGCAAAAAACAGGTTTGTAGAAATTTGTTGCTAAAAAACGGAAATTAGACATTTACATATGTATTCAGACCCTTTACTCAGTACTTTGTTGAAGCACCTTTGGCAGCGATTACAGCCTTGAGTCTTCTTGGGTATGACGCTACAAGCTTGGACACACCTGTATTTGGGGAGTTTCTCCCATTCTTCTCTGCAGATCCTCTCAAGCTCTGTCAGGTTGGATGGGGAGCGTTACTGCACAGCTATTTTCAGGTCTCTCCAGCGATGTTCGATCAGGTTTAAGTCCAGGCTCTGGCTGGGCCACTCAAGGACATTCAGAGACTTGTCCCGAAGTCACTCCTGCGTCGTCTTGGCTGTGTGCTTAGGGTCGTTGTCCTGTTGGAAGGTGAACCTTCGCCAAGGATCTCTCTGTACTTTGCTCCGTTCATCTTTGCCTCAATCCTGACTAGTCTCCCAGTCCCTGCCGCTGAAAATCATCCCCACAGCATGATTCTGCCACCACCATTTTATTTATTTTATTTTTATTTAACCTTTATTTAACTAGGCAAGTCAGTTAAGAACAAATTCTTATTTACAATGACGGCCTACACCGGCCAAACCCGGACGACGCTGGGCCAATTGTGCGCCACCCTATGGGACTCCCAATCACGGCCGGTTGTGATACAGCCTGGAATCGAACCAGGGGGTCTGTAGTGACGCCTCAAGCACTGAGATGCAGTGCCTTAGACCACTGCACCACTAAGGTGCCGAGTGCTTCACCGTAGGGATGGTGCCAGGTTTCCTCCAGACGTGACGCTTGGCATTCAGGCCAAAGAGTTCAATCTTGGTTTCATCAGACCAGAGATTCTTGTTTCTCATGGTCTGAAAGTCTTTAAGTGCCTTTTGGCAAACTGCAAGCGGGCTGTCATGTGCCTTTTACTGAGGAGTGACTTCCGATTGGCCACTCTACCATAAAGGCCTGATTGGTGGAGTGCTGCAGAGATGGTTGTCCTCCTGGAAGGTTCTCCCATCTCCACAGAGGAACTCTAGAGCTCTGTCAGAGTGACCATCGGGTTCTTGGTCACCTCCCTGACCAAGGCCCTTCTCCCCCAATTGCTCTGTTTGGCTGGGCGGCCAGCTCTAGGAAGAGTCTTGGTGGTTCCAAACTTCTTCATTTAAGAATGATGGAGGCCACTGTGTTCTTGGCGACCTTCAATGCTGCAGAAATGTTTTGGTACCCTTCCCCAGATTTGTGCCTCGACTCCAATCAAGTTGTAGAAACATCGCAAGGATGATAATGGAAACAGAATGCACCTGAGCTCAATTTAGAGTCTCATAGCAAAGGGTCTGAATACTTATGTAAATAAGGTATTTATGTTTTGAATTTTTTATACATTTGCAAACATTTCTAAAAACCTGTTTTCACTTTGTCATTATGGGGTATTGTGTGTAGATTGCTGAGGATTTTTCATTTATTTAATCCATTTTAGAATAAGGCTGTAACGTAACAAAATGTGGAAAAAGTCAAGGGGTCTGAATACTTTCCGAAGGCACTGTATCTATATAAAAACTACGCGAAATTGTGACCATAACTTCACTGAGAGGTGCAATGGGAACATGTTTCTCCTCAGACCTCTGAAGCTCTAGAGAACTGTCAGAAAGCAGAACTACTTCCTCTATGGGGTGAAGTTTTTGTCACCACTGTATCGACTAACACCAGATAGGACTCGGTGTGAGAATACTTCGAAAGGGATATTAAACATAGGTATATATGGAGACAAGAGTGATTCCATCTTCCGCCAAGGACCAACTCACCACTGTCAAAATCAATAATCTCTATTTGCTTTGTTTATCGTCTTCATTTGTTTTCCAAAGAGATAATTGCACACACATTAAAGCATAGTCCATTATGGAAAAAAATTACGATCTGTATATACTTATCTAATATCCCTTTGTGTAGTACACTACATCTAATTTATAATGCTATAATATTTTCAATATTCTGTGTATTTAATTGATATATTTATATGCAGTGTTATGGTTGATATTGATTTTACTTCTTCACCTGGCAATGTTATCACCAATCTGTTTGGCCACAGAAAACATGGAAAACTGTAGGCGTATTTATTTTTGTAAGAAAATAAGATAAAACTTCAACATTCCTGAAAATGAGATACTGTATGTTTTTTTGGGGTTAGAGGGGCTGGTAGCATGTGTCTTGACTTTGTTACAAACCAACCCTGACACAAACATGTTTGTGAAAAGATTCACAGCCAGCGTTGCAGTTTTAGACTCGAGTCGGGGACGTGTTTTTGCACGTGAGTGCCCGAAGACACGTCATGAGGAGGACTGAGGGCATCTCACTGACCTTGGTCAGCTTGGGCCAACTCCACACAGAGACTGAGACTCTGGCCAGCCCGCTTTAGCTCGGCCTGGGTCGGCTTGCATTGGGTTTACCAGAACAGGACTTGGCCTAGTGGGGAACCAGGAGCATTAGGAGACAATGCTCTCTGCCCTTTGATGAAAAGAAACATTCTATTTGTATTTAAGTGTCAGAAATACTTTTTTGTTTGTTGTATCATGTACAGACACATTTTTAGTATATTTTCACATTAATATATTTATTGGTTTTACAATAATAACATCTTTTTTTTGTTTTTAGTGTAACTATTAACTATATTTATTTTGAAAATATATTGTTTTTTTATTGAATAAAAAATGCAGTTGTCTTTGGAAGCCTATCTTTTCAACTGTTTTGAAATGAACTCTGACATGTTGATCAATCTAAACTAATTAGATCAGGTAACAATACAACACAATCCTACTTTACTAACCCCTCCTAAGCCAATTGATAAGGCATCAAAAGAGGACAAAACTACAATAAAATACATGCAATGCAACATACAGGTATCTGCCAAAATAAAGGAAACACCAACATAAAGTGTCTTAATAGGGCGTTGGGCCACCACAAGCCAGAACAGCTTCAATGCACCTTGGCTTTATTGCTACAATTGTCTGGAACTCTATTGGAGGGATGCAACACCATACTTCCACGAGAAATTCCATCATTTGGTGTTTGGTTGATGGTGGTGGAAAACACTGTCTCAGGTGCCGCTCCAGAATCTCCCATAAGTGTTCAATTGGGTTGGGACCTGGTGACTGAATTGGGGCTCTATTCAATCCGTATCGCAGAAGTTCTGTGCTATAGCGTGATTGAAATGTAAAGGTAATTTCTGATTGAGCCGACATATGCAGCGTTTACTGTGAATGCAGTCTCTGAGAACATTGCCTTTACATTACAATCGCGCTATAGCACTATAGCCCTTGTTTAAGTGGTCAATACCTCAACACAATAACTTACAATGAACAACAGAGGAAAATAAAATAAACTCCATAATAATGTTAGAACCAAGCATTGACTTTGTGCCATATTTCAAATCATTTACCCAAATTGTTCACAAAGAATCTCTGAAACAGTGCAGTGGAGTGTTTAGTCAGGAGTGGTTTGTGATTTTTAAACAGAACCTCTCTAATTAGAATCCAAAAGTACCCAATGGCTATGTGGTTATGTTATTTCATGCATTCCACCTCCACTAAGAAAAGATTAGCAGTGGCTCTCTCTTAGAATAAACCCCAGAGAGAGAGGGAGGAAGGAGGAAGGAGGAAGGAGGGAGCCTATTGTCTTGGATTTTATTTGACATATTCCTCTTCTTCATCTTCCTCCCGCATCTCTTCCTTCTTTCTCTTGAGTTAGTCAGCGTCAGCATGCCTGTGTACGTCATTAATCACATTTAAGGTAAACTGCACCCTGGCACAAAGAAATTGCTTAGTCACGGAACTACATGGAAACGCCAACCCGACCACTCCAGGGAACTGCCTAATTAGGCCTGTATTTGAATAACGTTCGAATAACGTTCAGGTAATGGCTAACCAACAGGTTCTGGCCCATTTCCATTTGTCCAATTTGCATACTTAAAAGGAAGTTTCCACTTGTTTCCATAGAAAGTTTCATCTATCTCACACTAGTATTGCTTTATGAGGCCTACATGAAGGAAGCTTCATGATTTACATGATACAGTGTAGGAACGTGTTTAAGAAAGGTCCTGTCCAGTCAGCGACTCAGCGGTGAATAATGCTATGCAGATTATCGATAAGGCCATGAGTGATTATTTGATCACCTTTCCACTTGACTGGTCAGCAGCTGTGTTATCAATCGACACAGGTTTGAATGTAATGTGTTGGGTCTTTTTATATAGATTCAGCCACATACACAAGGTTGGTTTTCATAGGTAGCTGTTTACCACTGATACACAGTCGTTTTATATTATGTGTTTTACGAGGGTTGATTTGGATCAGGGCTTTCATTATTTTAAACACAATACTCTGGATTGGTTTGTTGTCTTTTCACGAAAGCAATTCAGGTTCACTTGACATTATTTAGGGTCTAGTGAACCTTGCTCTTGTTGTTGAATGGACAGGTGATTACGGGAGCATGTAATCGCGTTGTAGAGTCCCAGTAACATTGACTTGAATTGCTGCTCTTATGAGGCAGCGATCATAAACACAATGCAGTGCCAATCCAGCTATTTGACTGACATCCAGACCACAAAAATGTTAGGAACACCTAACACAGAATAACTGTGATT